TCAACTTCGTTTGAATGACGTAGAGCTTGAACACGAGGATGTCTTTATCTTTTAATATTTAGTACGTAAAAACAAATAAACGAGTGAACTCTGTTTCCTGATACAAATTGACCTGTCTATCTAACTAAGGGGCACGCGGTAGCATAATTGGTTGAGGCACTATGCTACAAGCCGAAATGTCGCGGTATCAAGTCCTGGTGAGGTGGATTCTTTTTAATTTGCCTAACCCTTCCAGCCGCACTATGGCCCTGGGATCGACTCAGCCTCTAACAGAAATGAGTACCCGGAATATTCTTGGGGGTAAAGGGCGGCCGGCGAATAGGGCTGACAACCTCAACGCCATCTATGAGCCGATTGTCTAGAGAAAATGTGGGAACCTCAACATCTCACAACCCTATTGCCTCCACGGCCTGTTACAGGGATACCTTTACTTTTTATCTATCTATATGTCTGTCTGTCTGTCCGTCCATCCATCCATCCATCCATCCATCTATCTATGGCTCTGCAATTATTTGCTGGAATCTGGATGGTTTTTTTCAGTTTCGTAATCTTTACACAGTCGGTAGGACTCCTTGGACGGGGATCAGTCCGTAGCAAGGCCGTTACCTGCACACAGGACAGCACAAACACAGAATAAACGCACACAGACATCCATGCCTTGAGTAGGATTCGAACCCACGATCCCAGTGTTTCAGCGGACGAAGACGGCTTATGCCTTACATCACTCGGCAACTGTTATCTGCCGGATTGATGGTACCAAATAGAATTTCTTAAAATTAAAACACCATTAGGGAATTCCGTGATTTGTGTACCAGATAGGAGTCGTAAAAGTCAAGAAGTAAAATGGTTAATAAATTGAACGCTATGAAATGGAGATGTATGGGGGAGTTGAGGTATATCTCAACGTGAAGTAAACTCCAATTTCCCAGTTGTCGAGCCCCTAGCATTGTCGCTGTACGAGCTGAGACCACGAAGTTTTGATGTCACACGAAAAATTCCAAATTCTGAACGAGTTTGTGATGCTCCGTCAAAAAAAATTCTTTACTTTCTCAAGTTTGCCGCCTGTGCTTTGACGTCTGACCTTGTCTAGCTGTGAGGCTCATGTCAGAACTGGGTTTCTGTCCTCTCTGACTCAATTCTTATTCTTTTAATGCATGTATTTCTTTTCTGTCAAACTTCTTGTGTCACATTTGCCTGCTTCCTATGAGATGAAAGGAGTCGTTATAAGTTAGAGACTTCAAATACATCATGGCATATCGTTGTGTCTGTTCTGTACATGAAAGCATCAAAACTGCTGTGAAGAATATTCATTCATGTGTCGCAACTTGAAATGTTACTTCTATCACATATATCACGTTCCGATATTTATATATAATAATTCTGAATATAAAATATTTTGGAACGTATACCCGTTACTAGGCAACGACCACGAAACAAGCAACTATAAAGCAGCCATTGTTAAGTAACGGTTTCGCAAACAAGCATGCTTTCACGGCAACGAGAGGACAACAATAATGGAAGACACGTTCACGGTTAAGCGGTGTTTACATTAGCGTAGTGCCACGTCTAATAACAGGCGTGAATGTAGTTCGGCCGTAGTTACAGCTCGTGTAAACACAACAGCCGTGAATGCGTAGGCGTGAGCGCACTCCTGCCACTCGCCACGTTTCTCTCAGCCAGGCGTGACAAATAACGAAACAGCGTTTGTTTTTTTCCCCTGAATCCGGCGTATTTACAGGCGTGAGTGTCAATTCTGTGATGCACCCCGTGCGGAAACGTTGCCGAAGTGTCGGGAGAAGAGTTAAAAGATGCAAACAAACTGTCGCCTAAGTTATCGGAGAACAATACCAAATTCTTCAAACCCGATATCACCAGTTGATTCATGTGTGTCGGGAAACAGTCGACAGAGCGCTCCTGAACATTGTGACCGATGTAAGGCGCAACATTTCGACCAAGCGGATTGGCAGGAAATTATGAATTTTCCCTAGTGGTTATTCTATGTATGCATTTTTCGTTTCGGTTCTTAAGTTTCCGCTGTGGTTTTATCGAACTCTTTTCTTATCCTTGTATTAATGTTTCGTTTGAAATAAAGAATTTTGAAATACGTATTATTTTTTAATTATTCAGTTTCCCTCATTGTCAGTAAGTCAATCCCTGGCGGTGAAGAGTCGTGGTAACTGAATTCTCCTAATGACACGTCTGAGATGAGCAAACATTTAAGGTACAAATCCCTTATTTTTCAAAATCAAATGATTTTGTATGTTCAAAATATCTCAATTCTCTATTACTTTGAATGGTGATAAATTTTAATGGAAGTTCATATTTACTCACCTGACAGGTAATTTCACATTAACCAAGACACGTTATTATTGTGCGTTAGAAAATTAAGTAATTTTTACATGCCTGTAAATGTTCCTCCAAAGCTAACTTGATGGCTTTTAAAGTCTCAGGAAGAAATTTGCATTTTGTGGTTCTTGGCATTCGGAACAAAAAACTCTAGGCTTTTAAATCCATCTCCAGTGGCCAAGTAAGGTAGTGTAATTTTTAATTTCACTTTCAGTGGCACGAGTCGACACGTAGTATCCTGTTTCACTATCTATGGATAAACTTTCTCAAGTAGGTAATTAACATTTTTGGTGTGATTCGCGACATTTGTTTATAATTATAATTAGCTTAGATAATTAGATACAAGTTCAACCGATAGTGTTCTTGATGGACCAATCGCTTCTCTCATAGCAATCCAGTTTCTAACCTATCACCTTCGTTTTCTTCGGCACTTTCCAAAATTTTGATTTTTTTTTTTCAGCAAGCAACAGCTCGGTTTTTATTACTTCAGCAACAGCACGGCCACCCCTCCCATCTTCGTACAGTGACTGAAATGATCACGTGGAAACTCGACCCCGGGCGTGTAATACGTTTCAAACATTCCAGTGTTTACATTGCAAAATGACTTACAATCTTGTAGGAAAGGCGTGCGAATACGCCACTCCGAAGCGTGGTCATGGATTTCAAAACTGCACATTTTCACATTTACGTTAGCGTGGTGCCACGTTTCAAGCTCCCATCTCGAGCCCAAGACCACATTTTTGTTACTGTCAGAGAGTTTGGGGTTTGTTTATGAGGGCGACCTCTCTGACGAGGGGGGGGGTCTGTCATTTACAATTTCTGCAGGCCTCGCCAATGCAATAATTCTCGGGTCCGTGTCCCGCGGGGTACATGGCCCTATTTTACTCTCGGATTCAGGACTCCCTCGACTTGGAGGGTCAGGTCCCTTTATTTATATTCCCCCCCCCACCCAGCAGGGTGGGCACTGGACTCCGTTTTCTTCGCCTCCAACGCCTCGTTGGGCTACGGTGGATGTATAACACAACTGACAGAAAATCATCTGGTCGTTCGGTCAAATTGCTCCTGTTCCTGGTTGACAGAATGGCCGAATTACAGTACGTAACATAGCTTCGAGTTTGACCTTGACTTGAGTTTTAGTCACAGAATTACTGGGGTTTAGTTGTTGTGATCTATTGCTGTTAGAAGCTAGTAGCTGTGGCCGGGGACAATAAGGGAACCCAGAGGAAAGAAAACGTCCGCCGTCGAAAGCCGCTACTAAGTAACGGCAGTGAGGATGTAACTGTGGGCACCAGTGTGTTTGTGTGTGTGTGATAGGAAACTGTAAAATGTAGCATGCGGTGAATCAGAGTGTCCAATAAATTCGATTAATAATACAAACCATTTTTTTTTTCTTGGCACTACAGCCCCAGTGGGGCTAGGCCTACCTTCATGAACTTCCTCGTTCACTTCGGTTTTTCTAGATCTTAAACATTCGGTAGGACTCCTTGGGCGGGTGATCAGCTCGTCGCAAGGCCTCTTCCTGTACACAAACACAGAAAAACGCGCACACACAAACTAAACATCCATGCACTGAGTGGGATTCGAACCCACGATCTCGGTTTCCAAGCGAGCGAAGACAGTACATGCCTTAGGCCACTCGGCTACCGTGACCGGCACAATCCAAACCATACCACTTCATAATATTAAAAATCATTTTGTGAGATTTGAGGTTCCCACTATCATGACTGCCAAATTACCGGTCCTTTCGGATGCGAGACAGCCTAGTTTCATGTATGGACACCAGTGTTTTCGTGGAACCTACTGGTTTTATGTTCAGGGTAGTTGAAACGACAATGCTCCCCATCCCAAGGGACCAATTTCTTGACTATTTGATTTTTAAATATTAATATTATCTTACGCTGTGACTGCAAAAAAGTAGGGCAGCAACTCGTGTTGGACGCAGTATTCAAGTTGTACTGACAACTGCAGCTAGTCTACAGACAATTCTTCCTGTATCATTTTACTGTCCGTAATTATCTAGATAGTCACTCTTTCACCAGATATCACTGTCAAGCGGGAAACACTCTCCTCTTCATATTCAGGAAGTCCCAAATTCGGGTTTCTGCATGAAATTCGGCGACCTTGACCGAGATATTTCGTGATTTCTTGCCCCTCGAGATCACTACTGGGGCAGTAGGTATATTTTAGTATTTGCCACGTTCATTGACGTCTGAAGGGGGCAGGCATCAGCCTTCCTCGTGATTTTTAGAAAAAATTTTAATTTAAAAAGAATCAAACGCTGTCACCCAAAATTAAAATTATTTTTTAAAAAAGGTATAGATTTTTGCAATGAAATCGACATAATCCAAAGTCGACACTTACTCGTTCAAAACTATCGTATAGGTCTGTGAGCAGGTTTTCTTGAAGGAAAATGAATTCATGACTATTTCATTGCGACTGAATTAGCAAAAACTGGTTTGCTTCTGCCGTAATTGAACATGAAGAGTGAGGTAAGAAAAAAAAGCACATTTAGAAAGTATGTGTGCCCTATGGTGAATGAGTACATATTTCCAACCTTGTTCTGTGAACTATTTTTAATAATTTTGATACATCTCTTTTAGCTTATTATAAATTTGGCTGTTGTAAATATCCGGAAGGCCGTATCAGTTTCTTACCTGTTTCTTTTTCTGGAAATGGCGTTGTTCCGTTAGATCCTCCATGTTCAACCTATAAATAATAAAATTAAATAATTAAACTAAACATATTTATAGTCATCAATTATAACTAACGTATAAAGACTGTAATATATAACTCCACTTTTCCTTTTGTCTCCATTTATATGGTTCTGGTCAGGTTGCAAGGACATGTTAATAGACTTTCTAGTGCACGAAGCAACACATTCCCATCGTTCCGTTGCCTGGCAACTGCTTAAAACATATGTGGTAACTACGCGTAGCCACGGCATTAAGTATTCAAAGAAACTGTGATGGTGCACCCTTGGCTTTCTAGAAGCAATTAATTTTATGAAGAATCCAGGCGATGAAGAACAATGCCATCTGTACTACTATATACATATATTAATTTATATAATTGTAGTTGTATTTGTATTTGTATTTTGAGGCACTATGCTACAAGCCGGAAGCCGCGGGTTCAAGTCCCGATGAGGTCATTGGATTTTTTCCCAGTTGACCTAATCCTTCCGACCGCACTATGACCCTGGGGTTCACTCAGCCTCTAACAGAAATAAGTACCAGGAATTAATAAATAATTATCCTGGGGAGTAAAGCGCGGCCGGCGCGTAAGGCTGACAATCTTACCGCCATCTATGAGTCGATTGTCTAGAAAATGTGGGAACCTCAACATCTCACAACCCTACGGGTCTCCACGGCTTGTTACAGGGATAGCTTTACTTTTTTATTGCATTCATTGTGTGTAGTGTGTCCTTCATTGTTTGTGTAGTTTTGTGTGCTGTGTTTTGTTTCGGAGTGTTGTGTTATCTTGTGTGATGTGTCTTATTTGTGCGTTGTGTNGGGAACTCAGTGGACAGCAGACTGACAATAGGGCAAATATACAGGAACCAATCCTTGCATATGAGATTTAGAACTGCACAAAATACAATTAGAACTGCACATTTTGTGTAGAACTGCACGTTACAAAAACGCTGATCTAAAAAAGTAGAGCTGGTAGAGAAAAACTGATTTTATATTTAGATTCAGCGCCTTAAATATAACTAAAATTAGTTCTAAAATCCTAGACACCAAAAAAAAATTTTTTTTTGTAGGCCTGTGTAAGATATTAGCATAAGTTCTATTAAGTCACATCTTCCTTCTTTATAAAATTCTGTACCAAATACATTTCCAGCGCTTGTAAAAACCATGAAAATTCTGTGTTCTTCATGAATCGATTTCTGTTTCGCTCCGCGATTTACATTGTTTCGAAATATCTCTTAATGCAATAAATTCATGATGGCACTGCTTGAGTATATGGTAACATATTGCACCAATATAGCGCCTCAGATGCAGATTTTTGGTAATCAATTCTGATAGTAAAATCTACCAAGAGTAGTCTCTCTGTCGTCAGATTAAATTTTAATGAAAAATGCTTATTTACAAAACACTCATAACCCGTATTTTCATTTTTAATATTAAACATTATGATATTACTATTGAATTGTGATTAGCATATTCACGGCCTTTATCAGTAGCATCGTAATATTCATTTGTCTAGAGTAATTAATTTCACGTGTAATTACATTAAATTTTGATTATTTTACGATAAGAACAGGTACAGTATTGATTTTAGGCTTTCCTATAATTTACTGCTAATTCTAATTCATACTGTCACGTGTGTGAATGACTCTCAGTGGGTTTTGGACTGGAGACTGGATTTATTGATCAGTTTAACACGCAACTCGTGACTACACTTAATTATAGCGCCATCGCTGGTCTCCACACTTTATAAACCAATAAAACATGCAGACTAGATTTCTCAGTCTGTTACAGCCTCCGCTATTCGTCTCCTGGTAACGGCTTCTAGCACTGGCAATTCCTCTGCTTCCGGGCTCAAATCCTCTCTGAACGGCGGCTCCCTTCCAACTGTTTATTCTCCAGGCGACAAGTAATTTTATTTTCCAACTGAGCACTTACGGTTATGGTCCTTATATAGCATCATCTCTGACCAGAGGATGGGTTTGTCCTTTACAATTGCTGCTGGTCTTCGCCAACTCAGTCATTCTCAGGTGCAAGTGCCGCGGGACTCATGACCACATTTTACTGACTCAGATTCGGGACTCCCCCAACCTGGAGGGCTAGGTCCCCGTATTTATATCCCCCAGGAACAGGGTGGCCCAGTTATACCCTCAGGCACTAGCTTCCCATTTCGTCGCTTTGCACGGACCTTTGCACGGACCGAGAAGAAAACGCCGTTTATAGCAGTACCTCTATTATTGCCAGGAGCCGGAATAGCGCAGTCGGTATAGCGAATGGCTACGAGCTGGACGACTGAGGGGTCAGAGTTCGAGTCCCAGTAGGGTTACAAATTTTTTCTTCTCCACGTCGTACAGAAAGTCACTGGGGTCCACCCTACCTCCTGTCCAGTGGGCACTGGAGACTTTCCCACTGGGGTAAAGAAGCAGGGGCATGACTGACCACTCACCTCCAGCTAGTGCCGAGGTCAAGAAAATATGGATCTATACATCCACTCCCCCATACGCCTTCATGGCATAGTGCTTAAGAAGTTATGCACAGGGACAACTTTACCTTACCTTTTCTCTATTATTGCGTGAGTAGCTGTTGCCATGGGAACGTGATTACCACGCTACAGTATATTTGGTTTTTGCAAGTTGTGAATGTGGGAAATGTTTCCGAGGTTTCGGAGTCACATGCAGCCTCCATCTTTGAAGTATGTCCTGAAGACAGAGGCATCATATACCTCCGAAATGTTGCATGTACTTTTTTTTAATGCTAGTGGGGTGGGACTAAGTCCCTTGTACTAGGACCACTTGTGGCCTATTGTACCAGCCCCATATGATAGGTGAGGGTGATTGTGGATCAGTTGGTGGAATAAAGATTGGCAAGGGAAACCGAAGTACTCGGAGAAAACCTGCCCCAGCGCCACTATGTCCACCACAAATCCCACTTGACCAGACCGGGGATCGAACCCGGGCCGCCGCGGTGGTAAGCCAGCGACTAACCGCTTGAGCTGTGGAGCGGCCGTTGTATATATTTCCCTCACACATAATGGACATTCGCACTTATTTGTAGGAAAAGTTCGATCTACTGGGGTATAAAGCCGTGTACTGCACCGTGTTATATCGCAGAAAATAGAACTCTTAAAAGCGCCGCTGTGAGAACCTCATACTGCACAGTTACTTGTATGTTTATTTCAAGTTTGTGTGAGGGTTGGCTAAATTAGTTTGCAAACAATATTCCCTCTTATAATTATATTAATTTACTGCGTTATTTATAAATCGAACCTTTGATGCAAACGCTTTATAGGGCATATTACTTTCTAACTAGTGTAAATTTTTCTTCTGATCATAAACCATGATTAAACTGTATCGTTATATATACGTACATGGGATACTAACTATATATTCTGAACATTTCCGTGGGGTATCACACGTCTTGCATTTTATACTGATACCGGCTGAAGTCCGTTGGGAAGTCAGCTAATTTATTAAAAACCAAAATCATGCATGTTTAATGTGACTGTTCTTGGATCGCAGATTTTTAGCCTACGTCCCTTATTTTGAAAAAAAAAATAAAGTAGGCTTATGAGGTCATAATGAGCCCTGTGTTTCTGTGAATCCCCCTATCAATTTATCAATTCCTGAGCCAATCTTTATGAAACTGTATATTATGTCACCTGAACCCATCTCGGCGGCGTACTTCATAAATCCCTCCCTTCAGTCTCTGTGTCTCTATGTATAGCCCTAATTTCGTTGCTAGGCAACGGATTGATAAACACGTTCCCGCTGCAACGAATAAACGAAACAATAGATGAAATGTTGGAAGAATAATTTTCTATGTGTTCCGTGTTTTCTCAAGGCAGATTCTCTGAGGGTCTCTGTGTATCCCCTTGTCGTTGCTAGGTAACAATTCGGTAAAGACGTTTTCGCGGCAATAAAGATCTGTTGGAGGCATCGTTTTCCATGTGGTCCGTGTCGTATCAAATGAAAGTAGGCGATTAGTTATTGCTAGAACTTCTTGTTTAGTTTCATGCAAAATAAACAAACGTAATTTTTAAAGAATGTAAAATTATGTTGTATAATTAAACTGAATTTGTATCGCAGTCAAAATTACTTGCCTTTAAAAAATTACAAGTTAAAGTTTGTAAAAACCAGAAACATTAAGATGTTTCGTGTGAGGTCTGTGTCTGCAGAAGATACTGTCATCTGCCATTAACCTCCGCGTAGAAGCTTAGTGACGTCTCGTCCAAATATCCGTAAACGTCTAGTTAGATAGCGGTATCATGTTTCAGTAAATGGTTATCCTAGTGCAATATCCGTGTTGACACAAGGGAGAAGAAACCCTAGAAACGCGGGTGTTACAATTTTCCTTAGTACCGGTTCGTTTACTTTGGCAGTAACAAATCAAAAGCTGATTTAGGAAGAATTGAAAAGATATTGAACCCGGGTAATGCTTGCTACCATCAGTCCAGAAATTTCTGTCTTCTCTTCTCCTGTATAAAAACATAAAAATCAGAATATTCAAACCTATAATCTTGCCTTAGTTCTGTCTGGGCGTGAAACTTTGTCTCTGATATTAAGGGAGGTACATAGACTGAAGGTGGGCCGTGCCATAGCTCAAGCGGTTAGTCGCTGGCTTCCCACCGCGGCGGCCCGGGTTTGATCCTGGGTCTGGTCAAGTGGGATTTGTGGTGGACAAAGTGGCGCTGGGGCAGGTTTTCTCCGAGTACTTCGGTTTCCCCTGCCAAACTATATTCCACCAAATTCTCCATCGTCATAATCACCCGGCGCAGGCTACAGTAGGCCAATCAGTGGCCGCCGTGCCCAGCGGACCCAGTTGGACTCCACCCTCCACTAAGCTAATTGAAAAAAAAATTATACTTAGGGTGTCTGAGAATATTTGGACCAAATGGAGGTGAATAAACGGGAGGTTGCAGAAAACTGCATATCGTAATTAGGATCTTCATCAGTTATGCTCTTCGCTAAGTAAAATGAGCAAGTCAAGGAGGATGAAATAAACAGGGTATGTAGCACAAAT